AAAAAAAAAAAAAAAAGAAATATTATCTAGCTCAAAGAGTTGTTGAAAGGATCTAGAGAAATAAGCGATGCAAAGACTCAGTGTGATGCCTAGCTCACAGTAAGTGCCTAGTAAATTTTGGCTAGTAATAAGTCCAAAGTAGCATATTAAAGGCTCTGAGTAGTCCCATAGTTGAACTTTGTTTAGTTTTCCATTTGCACTAGAAATATTTCTGTCACGACAAATGTATTAACATCGGGTGAGCATGAGTCCCAGGGCACCAGGTGAGAAATGCTGTCTATCAGCATCAGGCTCTTCATAGCACCTAAGCTGCACACTGTGGTCTTGTCTCTGCCAGACCCCAAACATGCAGCTGAGCCCTGCTATCCCCCTGCTCCCTCTTTCCTCCTGGGACAAGCCTGACCTTCCAAGGCCGAACTCCGGAGCCCCCTCCTCTGTGGATTCCTCTGGCTGAATCAAGTGCTCCTTTCCCCTTGCTTCCCCTGCATGGCTCTTTGCCTGCTGTGTGCCACTATCTGCTCACCTGTCTGTCTCCATCCTCTCCAGTCAGGAAGCCTACTCTGAGTTGCACACAAGGCTTTGCACCCAGAGGGTACTTGGTAAGTACTCACTGACTTCTCCCCTTTCCATGGTACCTAGGACTCAGTTCTCAGACACAGCCAACCAGCCTCAGGCCTGGGTCTCCTTCCCTCCCAAGCCTCTTAGGGCACCAGGTCCCCTCACCTCGAAGCTTCTTGCCAGGTTCCAAGTGGCAGGAGAACCCAAAATCTGAAAGTCGGATCTGCATATTGTCATCTAGGAGAATATTCTCAGGCTTCAGGTCTCGGTGCACAATGTTGTTGGCATGGAGAAAGCTCACTGCTTCCAGCAGAGACCTCATGATGGACCTAGGGGAGGCGCAGTCTCCTCTGCTTCTCCCTGCCCCGCCCCACTCCCTGCTCACCCCAGGGGCTGCAGGCTCAGCCATTACCTGGTTTCCTTTTCTGAGAGGGCCACCTTCTCTGTGAGATAGTCAAACAGCTCTCCCTTCCGCATCCTAAGGGATAGTAGGGTTTGGGAGGTAGGTGCACCTCACAGTGCGGGCTGAGAAAATAAGCCAGCGCTCACAGAAAATACCGTGGAAGAGGCCGGTAAAGAGAGATTCCTCTGTGGACAAACAGGTCTCAAGACAGCACTCCAAGAGTAAACTGGAAGCCAGATGCAGTTTGGCCCAGTGGATTGGCCCAGTTGAAATATTTGCATTGTATCATGAGGGGGCTAGTTTAGCAAGAATAAATGCCTTCTTACAGGAGGTCTTTGTTTTCTCAGAATAACTACTAAAGAAAGCCCTTTCTAAGTGAATCTATTTAGACCATGAACCAAAATTTCACTCAATAGTGGCAAAAAAGTTGAGTAGGGCGTATTTTGAATTTTGCTTATTTTATCTTGTCTTTAAAAATTGAGGTTATCATTGCAACTCTGCATCAATCCTTGAAATAAAGAACACAAAAGGTGTTGTTTTGGGGAGTATCATTGTTCTGAAAAGCTGCATGATGGTATAACAGACACTTCCTACCTTCCCTCTGACTTTTGCAGAGGGTCATTTCTGTATTAAGACTTTGTGAATTTTTTCCAAGGGCCTCTCTTAAATATTTAGTATTCAAACCATTCTCCTTTGAAGTACCTTTTCAACTAGTTTGTATTCTATTGTATAATATCTGACATTCAGCTTCAGAATGACCAGGAAAAGAATTGATGGGCAGAGACAGACACCAGTGTGTAGGATGTTCAACAACAGGAGACTGGTGGGAGAGAATTTGTTATAAGTGGGCAGCTCGTGGATGAACACTCCCTCTTAAACAGCCTTTTCTTCCCTGTTAACCTTATAACCATGGGGGACTGGGATAGTGACCCCTTGGATCATGAAAATCCTTTGTATTTGGCTGGTCACTATTACTCTTGAAGAACTTGCCTCAATCAGGGCACCTAGGGAGAGGGGCCACAGCCATGGGCTAGCAGGCAGGCCCTAGCTGGAGCAGAGGAAGGTGTGAGCAGGGTGGTCTTCAGCCCACTGTGCTGTAAGGCTGGAGCCATGCATGGAGGTGAGGAGGAGGCTTCTCAGATCAGGGCAGGGAGATACTCACAAGTCAAACACCAGGAACATGAAGCTAGAAGACTCGTAGGAATCGATGAGAGTGACTAGGGAAAGAGGCAGAAAGGCAGAGAGACAGAGATGGAAAGGAGCAGATGCATATTAAAGGGGCTTTTCCCCCTGAGACAGCAGTGGGCTGTCTGTACTGTACTGGGAAGGAAGGAGAACCAAAGGAGGTGGTAGGG